AGCCAGAGGCGGCTCAGGAGGTCACGCTCCCTCTCTGCGTCTCGTCTCCCTGTCCGTCGTGGGCTGGACGGAGGGGGGTGGAAAGAATGGGACTCGGGTGGAGAGCCTGGGAGGACTTCCCGGAGAGGGTGGTGGATTTTGGAAAATCCGCGACTGGGTTGGGTGGATGGCCCTCTCTTCCTTTCCACTTGGGTCTTGTACGACGGTGGAGAGAGTGGCCGGGCAGGAGTTTGCGGGAAAGGAAGTAGGAGGAGCTTACACACCAGCCAGCCGAGCCGCCCAGCGCTGTCCGCAGGAGGCTGAGTGCTCCTCCCTGAGTGGCTTTTCCTTGCCAGGTGGTCAGGGCAGCCTGAGAGGCTCACTCAGGCGGGTCCCCCTGTTCCTCAGCCTGCCCCCCGAGCCCCAAATGAGGAGCAGCCACAGCCAAGGGCCTGATGGCCGGTGGGGCTAAGGCCTGGGCCTCAGGAAGCCAGGAGTGAAGGACAAGGGCTCTGCTATGACGTCAGATCTTCTTTACCACATTCGGGGGGTGAGACTCAGAGCCTAAATGCACCATGAGGAGGGGAGGACTCAGGCATTTGCCCCCAACACCTGACGCTCAGGTCCACGAGTCCATCTGCTGCCTCTTGTGTGCGTGTCCAGGTCTGGTGCCCTCTGTCCTGCTGTCTGTTGATGACACTTTTTTTTTTTGTTTGTTTGTTTGTTTTTTCTTTTTTTACCCACACCCACACTCACACCCACACCATGAGCATCATGTGACACGGGAACAAAGGGAGTTAAATAAAAGTTCAAGATAGGGGAAGGAGAAAGGAAAATGTCCTCAAGAACCTATCATGTGACCCGGCCACTCTCTGCTAGACGATGTGTGTGTGTTACTGACGATGATCCTGAGAGATAGCATTTTTAAAATGTTTTCCAAGTTGATGACACTTTTTTAAAAAATATTTTTTTATTGATTTTTTACAGAGAGGAAGGAAGGGGGATAGAGAGTCAGAAACATCGATGAGAGAGAAACATCGATCAGCTGCCTCCTGCACACCCCCCACCGGGGATGTGCCCACAACCAAGGTACGTGCCCTTGACCGGAATCGAACCTGGGACCCTTCAGTCCGCAGACCGACGCTCTATCCACTGAGCCAAACCGGTCAGGGCTGATGACACTTTTTTAAAAATATATTTTTATTGATGTCAGAGAGGGAGAGGGACACATAGAAACATCAATTCTGAGAGAGAATCATGGACCGGCTGCCTCCCGCACGCCCCACACTGGGGATAGAGCCCACAACCCGGGCACGTGCCCCAACCCGGAATCAAACCCTGACCTCCCGGTTCGTAGGTCGACACTCAACCACTGAGCCACGCCAGCCAGGCAGCTGATGACAGTTTTAATCTGTTCTCAACACAATGAACTGGAGGGGTCCGGTCTGGGAGCCTGGACAGTGGGTCACTGGGCGCGACTGGGTTGGGTGGATGGCCCGTCTCTCCAGTCTGCCCTGCTCACATCCCGCGGGACTGGCAGATTCTCTAGTTCCCACCTTGCTCTCCCTCTGCTCCCACAGACACCTGGACTTCATCAGCCTCCTGACCTACGACTTCCATGGAGCCTGGCGCCAGAGCGCGGGACACCACAGCCCCCTGTTCCGAGGCCAGGAGGCCCCAAGTTCTGACAGATACAGCAACACTGTGAGTGGGGGAGGGTCTTCGGGCCCAGGTCATAGATGCGGAGACTGAGGCCCAGGGGCCACGCGTCCCCACAGTCTGAGAACAGAGGGCGCCACCCCTCTGTGGAGGAGCCAGACCTCAACTGACGGCCCCGGGGGGCGCGTGCAGGCCGAGGGGGGACGAGAGGATGGGGGGCCGGGGCTGAGGAGGCCGGTCGGGTCTAGACCTGCCTTTTGCTGACCGTGGAGCCTGAGCCCGCCACCCGGTTTCACAGCTGTCGTAGCTGCCACTCCTCCCTGTGCTCAGGAGGCTTTTTGAGACCCCAGCTGTGCAGTGCCCTTTAGACCGAGGTTATGGTCCCTGGGAGGAAGGGGAGCCCCAGGTGTGTGTAGGACAGACTGACGGCTCCACTGTCCTCCCCCACCCCCCAGGACTACGCCGTGGGCTACGTGCTCAGGCTGGGGGTCCCGGCCCAGAAGCTGCTCATGGGCATCCCCACCTTCGGGAGGAGCTTCACGCTGGCCTCTTCGAAGATCGGAGTGGGAGCCCCCATCTCGGGGCCCGGGCTGCCCGGCCAGTTCACCAAGGAAGGCGGGATCCTCGCTTACTACGAGGTGTGACTGGGGAGAAGGGAGTTCCTGGGGAAGGTGAGCCGCGCCCACCCCCTCTGCTCTCTCCGTGTTCCAGGGGACTGGCATCCAGGCTGAGGGGAGTCAGGCATACCCAGTCTTCCTCTGTCCGCCAGCCCCAGGTGCTTTGGTTTCTGGCGGCCTCTGCCGTTCGCAGCCAGGACCACACAGCTGGGGACATGGGCCTCTGCTCCCACAGCGAGCGGGCAGCCAGGCGTCTGCCGAGGGCACATGTGCCTGCAGGCTGAGAGGCTGGAGGAGTCGCACCCTGTGCCCTGCAGCCCCTCACACCCTGACTGTCCTCTGCTCAGATCTGTGACTTCCTTCGTGGAGCGACCGTGCACCGACTCCTTGACCAGCGGGTCCCCTATGCCACCAAGGGCAACCAGTGGGTGGGGTACGATGACCAGGAGAGCGTCAAAACCAAGGTAGGTCTCACAGGCCAAGCCCCAGGAGGGAGAGGGAGAGGAGCCCAGGGTGCCCTGCTGCAGGGCGATGCTGAGTCACCTGGGGCGGGGCCAGGACAGCAGGTCCCCCCTACGCACATCAGGCAGGTAACCCAGCGCTGCCCCTCTGGGCCTCCCCTGCCAGGTGCAGTACCTGAAGAACCGGGGGCTGGCAGGAGCCATGGTGTGGGCCCTGGACCTGGACGACTTCCGGGGCACCTTCTGCGGCAAGAATCTGCACTTCCCCCTCACCAGCGCCATCAAGGAAGCCCTGGCTGCCGCTTAGCGCTCTGTCCGTCCGTCCGTCCAGCACACGCTGGGCAGGGCACTGCTCCCGGGGTTCTTGCTGCTCAGGAGCTGGTCACCTGCCCCGCTGCACCTCAGTCTCCTTCCCTGGCCCTGCAGAGGGTCCAGCTCTGAGCTCTGCGCTCAGCTTTGTGGGCTTGCAGGCGGTGGCGGAGCTGTGGGCAGTGAGGGCTGGAGCCCCACAGTGTCAGGCAGGGACAGCGCATGTTGAGGAGTGAAAACGCCACTCCCTCCCCGGGCCTCCTCGGCAGAGGCCACACGAGCAAGCTCCTCCACCCAGCACAGACGTCATGCAGGAAGCAGTGACCACACAGATCCAGCCTCCGCATGCCCGGCTTCAAACCTCCACCAGGAGCGTCCTCGTGCCTCCCTCCCAATCCCCAGCTGCTCAATAAAGCACCAGAGCTTCTGTATTGGCATTTGCTGACCCGTCTCTGAGGCCTATGGGCTCCTCTCTCCCCTCTCGTCTGGGTTCCCCTCTCCCAAGTTTGGGGGCCCTGAGCTTGCAGAAGGGGAGGCCAGCGTGATCACTGCCAGGGCCTTGGGAGTCCTCAAAAGAGGCAGCCTCTTCAAACCCGCCTGCCTGGCTCCACCCGGCAGGGCTGAGAGCGTCCACTGGAACTCACTGTCATGCAGACCTCTCGCCTCAGCTCCTTGTTGAGAGAACCCTGTTTCTGTAAGGCCAGCAGGAAGGAGAAGGAGGGACGCCCAATCCTAACCCTTCCTCTGCCAGGGGAGATGTAGGCGCCAGCACAGGGCCAGGCTGCAGAGCTCTGACTCAACTCTCCAGCTGGAAGGAGACACCAGGTTGCATCACGCATCCTCCCTTCGCCCAGGTCTAGATCCAGCCTCTCCATGGTCCTGCCATTCCCAAGGGCTCACCGCCATGGAGGGGCCCCTCCTATCACCACAGCAACCCCGTCCCCTCATCTCTCTCCTGGGACACACTGAGCCCTCAATCCAGCAGGGCTCCTCAGCTAGGCTGGCCTGAGACATGGGGTGGGCAGGAGGGGACGTGTGGGATGACGTGCTGTGCAGCCAGAGAAAGTCCTCGAAGATTCATTCGTGGAGGCTCTGATGTTTGGACTCTGTGACTTGGCCAGTGGTTTGTGACGCTAGTTTGAGGTGCAGGGAAGGAAATACCGATTGGCTGCATTGAAATCTGAACCAGCTGGAGCTGGGCAGATGCAACTGGTCTCAAGGTCACAGCTCAGCCAAAGGCACAGAAGGTGGGGACCTGGCCAGAGCCTCGGGGTACGTGACATTTCCCCACCGGCCAGTGGGGCCAAGCTTCCCTAATCCCTGAAAGAAATACAGGCCATGCATGCGTTCGTGTGTACAGGGTACCCCACCACACAGGGTCTTTGAAAGCCGGGCCTATGAGCCCTCCGGGGCAGCCACCCCTCCACCCTGCCCCCTGGGCCAGCCTTCCGCCGACTGGGACACGCCCGGCAGGGGTGACTCAGGGTCCTGCACTTAGTCACGTTCCCTTATAGCTGCAGACTCAGCGCAAGGGCTGGGGATCGGTCTCCAGGGCCCACCCCCTGCCCGGCAGGACCCTGAGTCGCCTGGCACCGGCCCCCAGGCCACTCCCCACAAGGACACCAGGGGAGAGGCAGCCACACGCGCATGGCCTCACCCCGGCGACAGAGAAGACGGTGCCTGCGGCTGAGGACCTACATAAGCTACACGTGTCCTGGACTTGACATGGGGGCACCGTCCAGGCTAAAGCCTGCCTGGCCTGTGTTTCTTTCATTTAAAGAATTGCTTCATTGTGAAAACTTGTGTAGCCGCCACCCAGGACAGGAAACGAGACCTCAGAAATGCTCCTCGAACTCCGCTCAGGGCAGCCACATCCGGCTTCCTCCGTGGTCTCGCCACCTGGGGACGCCTCTGGAAGCAGAGAGCCGGCCACTGTCTGCGTCTGCATTGGATGTGGTTGGGGTGACAGCGTGGTGCTTTGTGGGTGCAGACTCTCTCACAGTCGCCTACGCACCCCCCGCCGGGGCAGCGCTCTCTGAGGTGCCAGCTGTGGCGCATGATCCTGTGGGGACGGTTCCTGCAGGGCTGTCTCCCGAGAGCCCCGGGCCTGCACCTCGGGGCGTGGAGTGTGCACTGTGCTTGGTCCCATCTCACATTTTCCAAAGGGATTCCTCCGTCCACAGCCTAGTCCATACGTCCAGCAGCAGTAAGAGCTCTGGTCTCCGTCTCCCTGACCCTACTGTTGTCCGGATTTAGATGGTCACCAATCTGACATGTTAGGGATGAACGAACCAACAACTACAAATATGTACCTGCCTCATTTCCTCCACTGCCAATGCCCACGCCAGGCCCTGCTTTGAAGCATCTAGAAGGTTCCGAGTGCTGGCTTCCTCCATGGTCCTTCCCACTCCTGCCTTACTGACATGAACCACCCCAGGGCTGGGGGTCTGTCAGCGGTGCTGTGACAGGTGGGGCAACGGAGGCCCCAAGAGGGTCCTGCCAGCATCTCAGAGAGGCAGTAACAGGGCCCTGGACCCCCTTCCTGGGATCCCGTTGCTGAGAGACCCACCTTGGCACCCCAACTCCTCCCTCTCTAGGGCCCTCGGCAGCATACAGCACAAGGGAGACCCCCGGGAATGGGAGGGCAGGGGCACGGCTCCCAGGGGAGGCTATTTCAGGCAATCTGGGCCCCAGCCCCAGGCTCCGGGGCCTGGCCACACGTGACCCCCAGGAGGCCAAGGCGGCCTGAGCTGGGTTCACCCTCCAGATGGAAGCTCTCGTTGCCACTGCCCTGACCCCTGGCACCGGCCACTGCCAGCGTCCTATCTCACCCATCTGTGCCTTCCTCCCATCTGGGCACCAGCACCCTGGCTGCTGGGAGCCAACCCGGGTGATGGACGACACAGTGCCCTCTCAAGGGACCCTCCGTCCCTCCCCCAGAGCTATTCCTGGCCGAGGCGCCTCCCCACTCCCAGCCCCCACCTGGCCTGACCCCACAGCTGGGAACCATTTGGCCGGGGGTGGGGCAGCCCTGCCTATATAAGCCTGGTCCTAGGTGTCCCAGGCACCCTGGAGGCCCAGACCCTCCACAGCTGACCTCTGCACACTCAGCCTGACCACAGCCAGCCCGGCAATGACAGCGACCTCGCAGGCCCCTGACTATGGTCCGGAGGAGCCCGCCCCCGAGGTGCCCAAGGTGCCCACAGAGCCCTCAGGAGAAGGGGCAGCATTGAAGGCCTCAGGGGAGGAGCAGGCTCCAGCAGCAACCTCTGAGGCTCCTGCCCCCGCAGCCTCGCAGGCCCCTGACCATGGTCCAGAGGAGCCCGCCTCCGAGGTGCCCACGGAGCCCACGGAGCCCACGGAGCCCTCAGGCGAAGGGGCAGCATCGGAGCTCACAGGGGAGGAGCAGGCTCCCACAGCAACCCCTGAGGCACCTGCCCCCGAAGCCACTAAACCTGCACCTCGAAGTGAAGGTGACCAGAGCGGGGGCAGGCAGAGGAGGGAGGCAGGCAGGGCCGAAGATGGGGGGACTCTGGGCACACACCTTTCCTCTCCCCTCCTTCTCCCACAGACGTGCCCAGTGTCCCGCTGCAGCTGACCATCGAGGACGTGAGCGACTGCTCGGTGACCGTGAGCTGGGAGCCTCCGGAGAGGCTGGGGAGTCAGGGCCTCCAGGGCTACCTGCTGGAGCTTCGCAAGGAGGGAGGTGAGCTCTGGGCAAAGCCCCGCGGGCACCAGAGAGTGGGCTTGGGGGCCGCCAGCCCCAGACCCCACTCCGTGCCGGGAACGCGAGGAGGCAGAGGGTCAGCGTGTCCCCAGGAAGTGCTTGTCCCCCAGCTCCAGGGAGCCCCTGAGTGACAGCACCGGGCACTGCTCTGGGGAGAAGTGAGGGAGGGGCTGCCTCTCAGAAGACCCCGCGGGGGGAGGGCAAGCAGCAGGCAGAGCAGAAATGGGACACATTCCTGTTTCCACCTCCATGGCAGCCAAGCTCAGCCTGGCCTCGGCCTCTGACCCGACCTTGCTGTGCGACTTGGCCACTGTGTCCACTCTCTGAGCTGGAGAACCCTCCTCTGGCCACTCGCCCAGCCCTTCCATCAGGTGTCCTCCATGCGTAGAAACGAGGGGCCAGGAACGGGAGGAAAGGGGAACTAGGCCCAGCTCCTCGGCGAGATGGGTGCCCGTGGCCACGAAGCCAGGGCCTCCCGGCCTCTCGCTCCTCAGCCTCGGAATGGGTGCCCGTGAACGCCCGGCCCATGATGGTGACCCAGCAGACCGTGCGGAAACTGGCCCCGGGAGACAAGTTCTTCTTGCGCGTGGCTGCCGTGAGCCCTGCGGGAGCCGGCCCCCCCGCGACGCTGGACCAGCCCATCCACATCCGGGAGATCATCGGTAAGGCCTGGCGTCCCACCCCCAGCCCGTCCCAGGCACTCATGGGATGGATGGAGAAGCTGAGGCCAATGGGCAGAGGGGACAGGCAGTCATTCCGTCCCTATCATGCGCACAAGCCACGTGCTGTCGCCATCTTGCCTTTAGAAAGTTCCAGGTTCCCAGCAGCAAGGACCCTCTGAAGGTCCAAGAGCCCATTTCTCTGAGTGGCCCATCACCCAAGCTTTGGGGAAAGGGTATCCTGACCCCAGAACGAAGGCTCAGCTCCCCTGGTCACCTGCCTCAGGGTCCCAATGCCACACTCATTCTGCCTGTCCTCCTGTCTAGTCTCCCCCTGAGAGCCATGAGCGCTCCTTCCTGCTCCTTCCTCTGGCCTGGGTTCCAGAGCTCCCCTGGGGTCCAGGTCTCTGGTGGGAGGAAGACAGGGCCCTTAAACGGCCCATGAAGGTTTCTCCATCCCCAGAGAGCAGCACCACCCTGGGGACCTGGGAGCCCAGCTGTTTCCCTTGCTAAGGTTTCTATTTGTGGGGGCACCAGCCTCACACCTTCCCCTGTTCCCTGCCAGAGCCGGTCAGGTTTCAGTCTGTTCACGGCCGTGAGTCATTCCTTCGGCTCCAAGGTCTCTGGGGACAGCCCAGGGCGCAGTGAGGAGAGGTACAGGCCAGCAGGTGGCTGAGGCCTCCTCACCTCCGTCCTTGCTCCACACCTCCAGCCTCCGAGGGGGAACCCACAGGTCTGAGCAAGGCCTCCAGAAACAGGGGTTTTCATGGCCACAGGAAGGGTCAAGCTTGGGTTCAAGGCGATAATCTCAGCTCCAGGGCCTGGGAGATGTGACCACGGGAACTTAGAACCCTTGGCTGTCAAGCTGGTCCCCAGGGTCAGGGACTCTGGGGAGACCCAGGCTCCGGTGCAGCCGCTCCCAGAACCTGCCTCCACACAGGCCCTCTCCTGCCTCCAGGGGGCAGGGAATGTTCTCCCTGGTTTTCAAAAGCCAAGGGTGCTCCCAGCCTTTGTCTGCAGCGCAGACACAGAGACCTGTAGGGAAGGCCCTGGACCTTCCCCGGGGCCCCAGGGAGCTCAGGCTCTGCGAGGCCGCAGGGCCCGGCCTCTACCCGAAGCCCAGCGCTGACAGCCAGCCTCGGCCCCTGCTACTCCGCGAGAATTCCTCTGGCAGCTGAGAAGGGGATTTCCTGGAGAGAAGAGGGGAGAGACTGTGAACAAACAGGGACCAGCCAGCCCTCCTGGTGGGCAGGGCAGGGTGGGGGCCTGTCCAGGTTCCTCGGCTGCTCAGCTGTCCCTCCTTGGCCACCTGCAGCTGCCAAGCATTCCACCCGAAGCTCCCAGAGCCAAGTGCCCACACAGCTAATCCTCGGAGACACAGTGTTCCTTCTCCCTGTCTCCTCCCTCCGCCCTGTGAGCCACCAACTGCCGCCACCTGTCCGCCCAGAAGCCTCAGTCACCACCCCCACCCCCGCCCGGGGCAGCGGCTTGGCTGCGCTGCCTCCCTAGGAATGCCCGTGGTGCAGGGCTGCACCTGGTTGGGTGATGGTCAGGACCGTGGTGTCCTGTCCTCGTAGATTCCAGAAAGGCTTCCCGACTGAGAGCCTGGATGGTGGCGGGGGGAGGGGG